TTACGGGGGAGAAAAGGGCCCTGATTCCCTTCATTAGCTGCAGCTGGGAAAACAGGATTTTAAAAGGGCGTTTGCGCACAGCGCCTTGCTGGAAGCAAAGTGTGAATTATCTTTGTTTGTCAAGTCTTATCTGGCTTCTGGCATCCTCCCAACTGTGTGCGTTTCGTTATCTTCTAAAGTCTGCAATTCCTTATCCTGCCCTGTCTCGTTAATTGCTGCAGCGTGGTTTGTGTTGGATTTTATTTATAATCTAGATGTACTTTGTGTTCGGACGGAATTTCTTCCCTTTAAAGTCTGTTCTTGGGAGAGTTTTTTCTCCAGCCAATGATAACTGGCCAAGTGGGAGGAATTAAAGGGACTTTACTGACTTTTGTGACTTTGCTGCTTTGCTGCCATGCCCCTTTGGGTCATCCCACTAGGCGATTGAAGCTTCTGCCGCGCAAAATTCTAACTGGAGAGCCTGATTGATGACTCTGGGCTATGGATGTGTCCCATTGGAGGATATGAATTACGATACACCCAAGGGGTGGGGGGAAAACCGGGGTCAAGGGTGACAATGAATGATGTGTCTCAGAGTCGGCTGCACCCAGGCAATGCCGGCATGTTAACTCCCAATAAATCCTTTCGAAGTTTTGGAAGTTTGGCTCGAGACTCATGATTTAAATGGGGGTGACTGCCAGAATCCTGACAGTAATTTCATTGTAAGTCCTCAGGTAAGTCGTGCATCTAAAAACCCATCTCCTTTGGCAGTAAAAGATGAAAAAATGACTTCAGGGGCCACAGCCAAGAATCTCCACGGCCTCCGATAACCCTTACGCTGTTCTCGGTGCTCCTTTTTTTTGACCTCAAAAAGACCAACTTTATGCCTGGTTTTTAAATTTTGCCAAGCGATTCCTCGTATATCTGACGAAGCAGATTGCCAAGCCGAGGACTTGGGTTTTTGGGCCTGCTCGGTTCCGACAGCGTGTGGCTTGTTCGCCTTTCTTCGAAGGAGCGAAATCAAGCACAAGAAAAACGGAGTTTGTGTGTGTGTGGGGGGAATCTTATTTAACTTAATTTGGAGCCGTTGCTTTTACACCTCAAAGGTGCAAAAAGGAAGGAAAAAAAAGGTCTCTTTTTCGTAGCGATTTGAACTCCAGGATTCCAGAAAATTTGCTGTCCCTACAAACGTCGTAAGTGTGAAGAAGAGGGAGGGCGAGCAAAGCTTGCAGGCTGATGTGACCGTCTCGATAGGCGGAGAAGCTGTGACATGCCAGGTAATTACTGAAAGGTTGAATGTGAAGAAAGGATAGATTTAGTTTTTGCCCTTCCTTCCTTCCTTCCTTCCTTCCTTCCTTCCTTCCTTCCTTCCT